CGAATATGTTTAAAATTTTAGGAATTTTTTTCTCACCTATAAATACGGACCAAATAATTTTTCCCTGAGTTGGGAGGACCACAAAACGCCATTTTAAAAATGGAATAAAATATTTATTAATGTTGATTTTTTTCTTTACTCTGTAAAATTGTAATTTTGACAAAAAGGGCAAATAGAAAAAGTTTTATTTTTTTAGTCCTTAAATCTCCTAACCCACTCTGAATGATTTCATTCCTTTTCAAATGTTGCTCCGCTAAAATCAAAATTGTAAATGTTTATTTGACAGAGTATACGAGGGTAGATCAAAAAATAAACGATATATCTTAGGAATTTGATAGTTATATTATTGTTGAAATATTCAAGTATTTTTCAAAGTGTAAATTGGAGGTCTTTGGTAGCATATTGCTTAATTAAAAACACATCCCTTTTCAAACTTGCTAATATATCACTGGGCAATATAACAGGTATCATATTTAACAATCTGCCTTCCTTCACTAAAACGATCTATCCAATCATTGATTGAATTTGTAGGAAGTCCATGCGCGGATCTAGGGGAGGTTTTGGATAATTAAACAGATTGACTTAATTTTATTTTTTGTCGTATCCAACCATTTGTGAACATTATCACATTTTTCTAAACTTAATTTGTGATAATTTCAAAATTCAGTAAATGCTTTCTTGAAATCTTCTCTTAAAATGATTTTTACATTCATTGTGCATACCCCTGGGCCTCGTTCGACTTCCTCTTTATGTAATTTTATCGATATAAGATCATGATCACTCAGTGGAAAACGTGTGATTGTTGTATTTTTAATATTATGTGATAAAGTTTCACTTAATTCAATAATTTCGTTTTTCTTTATATATTAATTGCGTTTCTCTCTATATACATTTTGTTTTTATTCATTTAATATTCTGTTTTTGTTTATTTAATCATTTCGTTTTTCTTTATTTATTTTTGGTTTGCACTATTGGGCTTCCGTAGCCAACGGAGTAAATATAAAATGACAGAAAGCGTTTTGCTCTGCGCTTAGCGCTTAAAAACGGTAAAATTATTGCTCTGTGTCTCCTATGACCGCACGGTTAAAAATAAATGGGTACATGTATTTTTAAAATATAAGTCACTGGTCCTGCTTTTACACGTATTCATAAACGAATGAAAAAAATCAAAAAAAGGTTATCTGGATTCACTAAGAATCATAATACTGCACATTTTAATTCATTACCTTTTTTAAAATACAAGAAAATGGATCGGCTTTATTCATATTTTGAACGAAAGATACAAATGTTCAAAATGTACGACATTCTTCAAATCTCCAATAGATTTTCCATCAATCAATGTGTCCATATTTTTTTCTAACAACCCTCGTTATGAATCTCAAACGACTTATTTTAACACAGAAAGTGATTTCTAACATTAGTTTATTAATGATCTTTCAATTCATATGTTACTACCAAGATGAAATTCTTATTTAATTTTTTTTTTCGAAAGAAAGCTTTTTAATGTCTTTGTACATCGAATTAACCTGATCAATTTCTGGTCCCCTGTTTGAGTGTCTCTAAAACGTTTTAAATGCTTAAAAATAGCCATCATCCCTCTTCCATAATCTAAATGGTTACAAGGAATAACACACACAGATGCAGGTCACAAATTTCCTCACTGATATTTAAATTTTCGTCCACTTGATGAAGTACACTTTACTCATATAAACTGTAATATGGGCAAGCTTGTGCTTTAGGTTTTTAGAACAAATCATATTTTTTGGACACAATTTCATCAGAATCGCAGATTTTTGGTAAAATAATTTGCGATCAACTTGTGCTCCCGTGTACGCTTTTGAACAAATCGAAAAAAAGATTATCAAATAATCAACTCATTAGGCTATCTAAATTTAATTCTCTGGTTCTCAGGCCAGTTTTCTCCAAAACAGATGCTGGAGGGCGGCATTTTATTTATCATTTTATTGGCAATAAAGTAGATGAGGGAGGTATTTTTTTAAATTTTAATTTTCGAATTTTCTTTAACATAAAGATAATTTTTTTAATCACAGATATACTTTCCATTTCTGGTCAAAATTTCTGCTTTATCCATTGCTTAACAGCATGTAAACATCGTAGATAAATGTCCTCGAATGTATTTTCAAACGAAGTTGCCAAAATCTCATTGCAAATGACTACCGGAAGTGGTATTTGAATACTAAACTACAAAACAAATGAGGTCGGAAATTTTTTTCCGGATTGGTCTCCGCAATACCAACTTTTTATTTTATCAAAAATACAATAAAATCGGCAATGCGGCTACCTCAAAACGGATGCGCGCGGGCCTGAGAACCAGGATTTCAATTTTATATGGCCTTATATATTGGTTTTCTTTGTGTTCAGTACATGCGTCGACATGCAGAGACAACATATATTGTCCTTTACTCAATCCACTGAATTTCCACAATTTTTTTTAATGTTGTAAGCAAATTTCCTATTACATTAAATTTGGGAATTTGCTAATAAATAAAATTTTCTTTAGTCTGACACATGAAAATATTGATCAAAAACTTACAGTGCCTGTAAATTTGGCAATCCATTAAAGGCATTGTCTGCAATGGTGGTTATCTGGTTGCCAGCTAGGGATCTGAAATGATATTTGTTCACTGATTTATTAAAATGTCTATTTTACAAATTTTAGTTTATCTACATCTAACTGTGTTAACCAACATTGTAAAAAATGAACTCTTTGCAGTAGATTACAGAATTACATAAATTGAACCTATTTCGTCAAAAGGTATTTTTATGACATTGATGATCTCAAAAATTTACTATAAACCATTAAACATCTCTATATCTACAAAACCACACAATTCAGATTAGAAACAAATTTGGTGCACACATAGCCAAACACAAGTTCTATAAAATAGCATATGCTGAATAAAGTTTTGCTCATAATGACGTCATTATCCAGGTACTTGTGACAAAAAAGTAAGGGGGGTAGTGGTGACTTCTTTTGCCTCAATTCTTTCACTTTTCATACCCATTTCACACATATTCGCGTATAACGGGGGGGGGGGGGTCTGCGTTTTCCAAGGGGAGTCCATGGTAACTTTTTTCTTGTTTTAGTATACACATCTTCTAACCGGGTAAATTCCAGGGAGGTCCTGACCCCCCCCTCCCCCCCGACCCCCTCTCTAGATCCGCACATGGACTTCCTACAAATTCAATCAATGATTGGATAGATCGTTTTAGTGAAGGAAGGCAGATTGTTAAATATGATACCTGTTATATTGCCCAGTGATATATTAGCAAGTTTGAAAAGGGATGTGTTTTTAATTAAGCAATATGCTACCAAAGACCTCCAATTTACACTTTGAAAAATACTTGAATATTTCAACAATAATATAACTATCAAATTCCTAAGATATATCGTTTATTTTTTGATCTACCCTCGTATACTCTGTCAAATAAACATTTACAATTTTGATTTTAGCGGAGCAACATTTGAAAAGGAATGAAATCATTCAGAGTGGGTTAGGAGATTTAAGGACTAAAAAAATAAAACTTTTTCTATTTGCCCTTTTTGTCAAAATTACAATTTTACAGAGTAAAGAAAAAAATCAACATTAATAAATATTTTATTCCATTTTTAAAATGGCGTTTTGTGGTCCTCCCAACTCAGGGAAAAATTATTTGGTCCGTATTTATAGGTGAGAAAAAAATTCCTAAAATTTTAAACATATTCGTTGACGGAAAAAAATTAGCCGGGCCATTTCTAGGCAGTAGATCGGGAGAGAGGGCAACCGAATATTTTAATAACAAATTGTCTTATAAGGCTAGTACATGTTCCATAACATACTGAGTAATGCAATTTTTTTGAATCTTTGGTACTATTTAGAAAAACAAACATAGGAATTTTTTTTTTTTTTTTTTTGGGGGGGGGGGGTAGCCTCTCTTTTTTTTTGGCGTGATAGACATAGCATATGCAATGGACTTTTCTTTGCAAACATTGTGCTTGCTTCTAAATTTCAAAGAAACAACTCAATATATTTTATCAAGCTTCGTATGTTCAATGAGCGAGAGCTTACAATGTTGTCAACATAATGAGACATGATGCGTTTTTATGTCCAAACATTACTCCATACAATGTGTGGTTCATTGCAAACAATCTAGCTATTTATGTGAGGTGCCTGAAGGAAATCCTATAACCGCCTATTTTTTCTATCTAACTGCTAAACAAAATAGACACATGTACCAACTTTTCGAATGTAAGACATGTAATTACAATTTGTTTTTCATGCACCGCATATTGTTTAACATTTTCAAATTAAATGCTAAGCATCCTCCTTGCAGTGCCCCATTTGAAAATAACTTCTATCGCCACAGAAAAAAGACCCACCGTAATCAAATATGTTTAGGACATGTTTTATCTTTTTTCTTGAGTTTTAAAGAAACCAACAAATCATCAAGACTTGTTCCATAAAAAATTAAATATAATCATGGTAATAAACGCATCTATCCACAGCAGATATATGCACATGCCAACCACGTGCTCAGTGGAATTATATTATCGAGGAAACTCTAGCTGTACACAGAACAGTTTTTCCCGATTTGCTTGAGTGGGGTTAAAATCGCTTTTTTTTTATTAATCAGACGATGCAATGCAACAAATAAAAGTAGTAGGTAATGAAACCTAATGATTATTACTTAGTAATTTCTTGTCTTGATGTTATTATGGTCGCATTTATTCTAAAACCAATGCTATTCGAACTCTGTGTGACAGAGGAATGGCGGACGAAATAAACACATGGCCTCAGGAAGACACCCATATGAAAAATCAAATTTTCAAGAATTATGGAAAATGACAAGAAAAAAACGAAACAAATGGTTGTAGCCATATTATCAATGAATAAAACTAACACTATATTCAATGCATTTTTCATCTCGTGAATGCTGTAGCTGCGCAGTTCTAACATGATTTATTGCCTCCTAATTAAAACAAAATAAACTTAATTATTAACTGATTTTGGTCTCTAACAGTAGGTAATTAGTGCATTAGCACTTAGAGTAACTTTGGGCTAGTTTAGTAGAGTATTAAGCGCATTCTTGGTATTTCTTATTTTACACCAGACTAGATCCAATATGGCTTGTACATCCCCCTTAAACATGATGAATTTATTTACATTTATTAAAAGTTAACAAATTAAAACAATATACAAAATAATGCACTCTGAACTTGAAAACTAGAATGCTATAGGAAGCTCTGACTAAAACGTAAAGACATTCATTCAAAACAGGAATATTTTATTAGCAATTGCTCTGACCTTATGAATATATTTTTAATAAACTACCCATATTTTATAAAAATGCATTATTAATCTACAGGCCCCGTAAGGATCCGGGTTAGAATAGGTCCTCAGTAACCCCTTGCTTGTCGTAAAAGGCGACTAAATGGGGCGGTCCTTCGAATGAGACCGAATAAACCGAGGCCCCGTGTCACAGCAGTTGTGGCACGATAAAGATCCCTACCTGCTCAAAGACCCTGAGTGCCGAGCATAGGCCTAAATTTGCAGCCCTTCACCGGCAATGGTGACGTCTCCATATCAGTGAAATATTCTGGAGAGGGACGTTCAACAGTATACATTTATTATTAGTCTACTGTGAATTTAGTTCACACTTTCAACCAGAGAGCAAAGATGAAACTTTGAAATTTCTAATTTTTGGAAAGAAACATATACACATTTCGAGGACAAAGCCTATATATAGAGTCTTTTATTAAATATGGTTTACAAACTATTGTAGATATTTGGTATAACAATACTCAGACTTTTAAGACTAATGCTTAGATATTCTTAACAAGAAATTGATGCATATTGAAAACACATTGAAAAGAATTTGGGGCTCAATTTATGAAGTAAGGTTAAAAGAGTTCAAGAATTTTAATGGAAATGTTTGTATAACATCTTTTACACTGAAGAAAAATTAAGCAAAATGGGTTTATCAAATGGTAAATGTTTTTTCTGTAAATCAAATATTTAGAGCCAGAAACATCTATTTTATGAATGTAAACATGTCAAACCACTTTTAGAGTTGGTACAAAATACAATGTTAAAAATTCCTGTTGTGAATCCTATTAAAATTGATGTATGTATCGTTTTATTGGGATTCACTGTAGAACCCCAAAAAAGTTCGAATTTGTATTAACACCTCGTATATATACAAGTGGTCAATGTGGAAATCAAGAAACATCATCAAATATGAAAATAGAAATATTACTACTTTAATTTTCATGAATGAATTCAAGAAAAAAATGAAATTAATCTTTCAACTCTTAAGAAATGACAAGAGCAACTTCAACAGAAATTTTAAATTAACGTTAGATATGCTTACAGACTTCGGTTAACTGTTACCTGATTTCCTCACTACAGACTTAAATAAAATAACATGATTTTTTTCAGTTGTTCAATTTATTGTCACATTCTCACCAAAACTGAATCCATATTTATATAAACATATATTATTAGATTTTTATGTATAAGATGTAAATTTATGTTCTCTTTGTATTAAACAATAAAGCACCCTGCGTGGTGCTGTAGGGCTTATGTATTGTTATAAAGGGAGCTTAGTCAGTGCCCCATCCCTGGTAGCTACCCCACATATCAGTTGTTGATTGTTATAAGTCTGGTAAATAAATGTTGAAAAAAATCCACATTTTAATAAAAGGGAATTTAATGCTTTAAAACGTGAGCAATTACTATCAAACGCGTGTAGTATAAAAGATAAAATTAATCTACACATCAGACCTTCGCTCTACACATCAGACCTTTGCAATTGGATCGAGTAAAAAATTCAGGACATTTTTTTTAATTGGTTTCAGAATATCTTGAGAAGTATACAGTATTACGAAATGAACGTTAGTAGTAATGAGGATTGTTTATATATGAATATATTAAAAAAGAAAGTTAAATTGTAAAGCATTTGATTTTAAAGAATTTTATTGATGAAAGTAGGTACCCTATGAAAAGAGTTCTGTGCCTTTCTTTACTTTTAAAAGAACTCCATTAAGCTCACCTCAACTAAGTTGGGGGAGCTTATGTAAAACTCTTGGGGTCTGTGGCTTCGGGTGCTGAATTTGACCTACGCTTTCTGGTTGAGTGAACGAGTTAAATTTATTGGTGCATGTTTCAATTCCAAGTAACTATGAGCCCTATAATGACCAAACTTTTATGGATTATGCAAGGATAAACACTTATGTACTTGCTACAGATGCTCAATTGGGCGTACATTTTCCACATAATGGACCCTGCAGGTAAAGGTAATGGGTGCAGGTCTATCACCAAGAAACTATGAGGCCTATATCAACCACATTTGCACAAATGATGCATCACGGGATGAAGGGATGAAAACTCTCAAACATGCTTCAGATGCTGGGTTTGAAATACATTTTCTTGACGGATGACTAGTGTGAAGTTTTTGGATAGGTTTATTCCATAGTAACTGAACGCCCTATCAGATCAAAATTGTGTAAATTTAGGATGGACACTTTTTCGAATGTTGGTTAATTGTGTGACTTAGCCTTAGGTTCAGTAAGCAGCCGAACTGATAAGACGTGTTTTTGATTGCTCCTGATTACCTGTGCCTAAT